ATTAGTGCATGATCTTTCTTAAAGATTTCATACTCTTTTTATAACTCTAGAAAATCTAAATTCAACCTAATATGTATCTTTTTGAGTTTTCTATATGCTCTATGAGTCATTTTAGAAATATCAAATAATTCTTTATAAGTTAAGTCACTTACCTCTTCTTGATCTGACTGATCAAGCTTATCGGCAATCAAACACAGGTTGGTGACTTCCTCCTCTACCTTTATTTCTGAGAAATTCAAAATTGGTTCCACCCAAAATGCTCTTTGTAATCTCTTCTTGCCCTTCCTCACATTTGTTTTCTATTTGACCTTCTCCTTGCTAGCATTGGCTTTTAGATTTAGGTATTAATATTTGATGTGTCCATGCTTCCTACATTCATAGCAAATAACAATTTTCAAAGCCTTAACATTTTTTGTGAAACTTACCTTTATTCCACTGCTGACATCTCCTTTGCTTCATTTTTAAAAAACTCCTGAATTTCCTTATAATCAAGGCAATGTCATCTTCATCCTTAGGCTGAGACTGATCACTCTCTGAGTCATCCACTTTCAATATTATGTTTTTCTCCCTTCATTTCTTACCTGCATCAATCTATCTTTGAGTCACTCGTTGGTCTTAAGCAATTAATGATCCAAGAAGATTGTCAATAGAATAAATAGTTAAATCTTTAGACTCTATAGTAGCAGTTTTTTTTTTCAACAGAAACCCACAGTGGGGCTTACGCGTTTATCCAAAAAGCATTACTTTTTCCAATAATTTTTTTTGCATCATAAGTAGTAAGCAAATAATGAAGTATTTTATTCACTTTTTCAGCATTCATTAATTAGCTACCTAAAGCATGCAATGAGGTGACTATTTAAGTGAAACATGTATACATGTTAGTGATTGATTTATTTGATTTCATACGAAATAATTCATAATTATATAGCAAAATATTCAATCTAAATTATTTCACTTTGTTAGCCCCTTCATATATGATACAATGTTTATCCTAATTTTTTTTCCCACTTTTATAGGTAGAAACACACATGTAGTATTTAGATTTAAGTACACATAAAAAACTATTCAAACATTTAGCATTTAACTGAGCTAAGTCTCATTCTCCTACAATCCAATTAACAAATTGTGTTTCAGTTTTACTACTATCTATAAGTCTAGTTGACCTAGTGTATCATTCTTATACTAAAATCCACATACGATATTCAAGCGATTGAAGAAAAGTAGACATATGTGTTTTCTAAAAATCGAAAGGGATATTTTCAAAGAATGGAGGTCTAGTGATTGAATACCTTTTAGGTGTGTTACAGTTTTTAAAAGTAGTCATGATTATTTTTAAAAAGTTATCTAAATATTACTTTTTGAAATTAGGCTTTGATACCACTTAAAAAGTCTATATATATTGTTACACCTAATTCAATTATCCCAATGCTAACCAAGAAGAGGGGTGAATTGGTTATTTTAAAAATCTCTTAGAAATTTTATATAGAAAATCGATTTCTAATTTTTGCATAATTAAAATTTTTATCAATTTAAAATTTTCAACCACAAAAATTTAAATGCGTAGAAAAATAAAAATGCAGTAAAATAAGAATATGAAAATTTATAGTGGTTCGATCATACTAGACCTACGTCCACTCCCTGAAGATTCCCTCTTCAGGTATTACACTATTACTAAAGTAACTCTCCTTTTTCTCCTACAGTAAGGCAGAGAAGCCTTTATAATTACCCTCTCTTCCACCAATTCTCGGTGCGGTAGAGTACCATCATCCTTTCACACACTCCAAGTGTCAGCAGAGTACCATCATCATTTCACACCCTCCAAGTGTCGACATAATACTATCATCTTTTCATACTCTCTAAGTATTGATAAAGTACCGTTTTTCTTTCACACTCTCCAAGTATCGGCAGAGAATCAGATCTTTTTCAAAGATCTTCTCTCGAGCGTCTTCAAATAAGTAAGAAAGAGATTTGTCACAATTACAAAGAGATTTTCACCTTTGAGTAATCTTGTGACCCTTCACACTTACACTCTCCACTTACAAGAACTCTCTCATAAACACTCTCCCAAATCACTCTCACACTTGCTCTTTAAGAAAATACGAAGAAGGATTTCGTCCACAGTCAATTTATAGGACTTTATATATGAAAGATACAAAAAGTAATCCAAAATACAAAAAATTTTCAATTTGACCGTCCACGATCATACAGTACGACCTACGACCGTACGTAAGAATAATTTAAAATTTGCTTATACGATTCAGTACAAATTGATTTTATACTCTAATTTATTATGTATGAACTGACATTTTACAGTACGATTAGTTCAAAATTAAACAATTTCGTCCGATACAATTCAGTATGAAATGATTTCGTAATAAGAATAATGTACTATATGAAATCCATATCGTACAGTACAATCAGTTTTAATCAAACCATGTTTAATTTGGTATGAAAATGGCCTCAACCATTTCGTACTTTGGAAGTTGTCTATACAATCCTATGATCATACAGTACGAACAGTTCAAAAAATTTACATGTTCTTCTAGGCTAAAAGATACACAACCATTTCATACTCTGGACGTCGTCTGTACAAAACTAAGATCGCATAGTACAAATAGTTCAAAAAAATCAGAAGTTTATCAGGATGAACTTATATGTATATATTTCATACTCTAGAAGGCGTACGTATGAAGCTAACTTTGTATAATACGAACAAGACTTAGAAAAATTTCCTAGCATGGTTCGATTAACTGCTTTCTAGAGGTACGCTCAAGCCAAATCATCGCGAAAGATCCAAAATCGTACAATATGATTAGTATTAAAAATTTCTAAATTTTTACACTCTTGTAGTGTGTGTCTGCATGGTTACCCAATTACAAACATACTCTCAGACTGAAGAAAAGTATAAAAAGTATAAACTCCAAAAATAATAAACCCTAATCTAATATGACTTGAAGTCTTCAGCAATCTAGATTATGATTTTCCTGAAATGTTAGTACACACAAACAACAAAAAACAATATTTCCAATATATGTTAGGAGAAACATTAGTCAATACAATAATATTTTATAATAATTAAAAACACAAATGATATGAAATCATAGTTATAAAAACTAAGTTTCAACAGTTATGTCGATTTTAACACCTACTCCATCGATGTTAAACCATGTCTTATTTTCCTTTAAGCTCTTCCTTCTTTGAATGACTTATCTTTAACTTCAATAATGGAGGTTGCATCCAATTGTCTTCTTAGGTGACACCAAATTTTAGTAGGTGGCCAAACTAGTTAGCTAGTGAGTGAACCTGTGTGAGAAAGAAAAGTGGAGAGAAAGATAGAACTTATAGGAAACTCAAGAAAATTGAGTTTCAAACTAACATTCATAAATCCGAAATTGTTCTTTTTCATCCCTTATTTATAGGGTTCTATGGGTTATAAGAGAGGCTACATAAAAGGAGAAAAAGTACAATGCTATATCAATCACCCGTACAACACTATGCAAACTACCCTATACACGTATAATCCTTTGATTTGCTGAAAGTGGGTGAGCTCGGATGGACACTCATGAGAGGTCTTTGGACGAGCTCAGTAGTGTCGAGTAGGATGGGACGGGTTTATGGGCAAGTGATGAGACGAGGGGATTTGCAACTAGCATGCTTGCTAGCATTGTCAGGAACTTATATGAGATATATTGGGTGGCCTGAGAAGAGAGAGGTGAGTGAGATGTTGCATGAAGGGAGAGATGTAGAGTTGAATATTCTTGGCGAGTTAAGCTGATAGGCACTTTCATGTAGTTGAGTTAGTAAGCTTGTTTGACGGGGATCACTCTAAGAGAGAGTTGGTGAATGAGATGGTGATCCAAGCATGTAGCAAGCATTGAGCTAGCATGATGAGGAATCCTTGATCCGCCTCATAAGAAGATTTAACTCCTTGGTGGAATTGGATGGGTAGTGCCTATTTATCATGGTGAGTGAGCCCTCTTGCGAGTTGCAAGCAAGTAGCACCTCTCGGGTCATATGATGAGTTCCATTGTGGGCCACACTTGAGGGTGCGTTTCTCTATCATGACCTCAGTTTCCTATGAAATACTTGTAAAAGCATACACCAATATATAACTCAAATTACTTAATGAGATACAAAATAAATATTTTGAGGCTTAGTTAAGTGCTAACCCAAAGCTCTTTGATCTTTCCCATTAAAGTATATTTTATATTCACTAAAATGGCACTAAAATGGCACTAAAATGGCACTAAAATGGCACTAAAATGGCACATTTTTTAACGAATCATTTCTATATTTTATATCTCATACTCAATCAAAGTGGTTATTTGATAGGTGCATGCATTTTTGATATTATTGTTAAAGTTAATTGGAATACTAGTTGTAATTATGTTATCAATTTTTGAAAATATATCACAAGCCCTCCTCTTAAAATTGGCTTCATTATGTAATAGTTAATAATGGTTAAGCCCTTCATTTTGATTCTATCAAAATATCGATAAAAATGAACCCTCTTATAGGTTTTGGATGTCAAATAATATTCATCATAGCTTTGGTTAGATTTAAATTTTGCTATGATTTATTTATTTTAGTTTAATAGGTACAAACCCCATAACCATAATGTGCATATCAAAAAAATATATAAAAAATATTGACAATGTCAAAAAAAAGAAAAAAAAGAAAACACTGTGAGAGGATGGGAAAATAAAAGAATATTTGAACGATTCATACATTGCAAATGAGATATAGTTCAAAAGGAAGGGCAACCTAATATGCATATAGTGCCAAAAAAATAAGCTTTTTAATAATTTGGCCAAACAAACTTATTACGGGCATACTGATTAAAACAAGATCATTATAACCAATTAATTAAAGTAGCTTTATACTTTTTTTTCTCTCATTAATGGCATCGGGTCAAAATCCAACCCGGTTTTAGGCTTCATGGAGAGCCATTTGGCCCATCTTCGCAGTCTCCTTATATTGACATGCTTGAACTGACTAACGACTAGTGAGAGGACTTTCCAGAAGTGCCAGCGTTTCAACTTCCAACGCCTCTTTATTTACTTTTCTTCCATTCTTGAAATCAGAGGGATATGTTCTCCGTTTTCAAAATTCTTTGCTTGGAAAGCATCGTCATTTTCACTTTCCCTTTCCTTTGTTTTTCTTTCTTCTGCGTTTGTATTACCACTGCGGCAGATTAGAAGTTTAAGAATCATCATAATGAAGACGAGGAAATTTTGAGTAATCCTGTGATGTTTATGCGCTTCGCCGGCGAGGGAGTATCTCCTTTTGGTTAGTTTTGCTCCGGTGCGTGTGATATTTCTATTCACAAATATTTGTTAATCTTCTTGTTTTTGCTTCAAATCTTCGATTTTAAGTTAAATTGGCTCTAGTTATTCACAGAAACCAGGATGTTGTGGAGTTTGTATTTGATGACTGAGTTACTTGAGAACCCTTTCTTTCTAAATGAAGAAATCATTGCAAAACTTTAAGCTTGTTTTGTTTCTGAATGTAGAATTTAACCCAAAAAAGTAGGCATCTGAGAGTAAATCAGGTCTCTTTTGTACTTGTTATTCTTTTATGTACCAAATTGTTTTGATATTCTGAATGGAAAGTCATCTATAAATACCATTCTTTTCCTTATGCTCGTTGGGAAAATCGGTGAGGATCATTTATGTATGATATTTTTTGATATAAAGACATGTTCACAAATCAAGCCAACATTCGCTTGGTGTTATACATCTAACGACAGTGGATGAGGTGTTGGAGTATTGATTGATTAACTTCTGCCCTTTGCTAGTCCAAAAGGAAGAAGACAAGGTAAATATCATGGCTTGACTTGAAGTCACTTCTGTGTGTACATGTGTACGCCAACATTGACGCCATGTGCAGGGCCGTACCTTACAAGTAGTTTGTGTCAAGCGCACATGACAAGTTGTTATTGCGTGAAGCTTTGCGCGCACCTATCTAATGCTGCAACAGAGGGTCTAGACATTACATGCACACCGCACACCAGTGGTGCATGATGTATAAGCGTACAAAACAGATCTCAAATTTATAAAACTTATGGCATGATACATGCACGGAGAGGTGTTGTTTAACGTTACGGTCAATTGTATACAACCAAATGTGCACAAATGGCAAATGCATGTGTGACAGTGTGCCGTTTGTTGTAATTTTGTACAAGTGTATATGGGGAATTTTTATGAATCCTGTGTCTTTTAGTTCTTGGTGAATAAAAGGATATGGGTTTTTAATTCTACAATTTTGTGGTGTCTCTTAGTTCCTTTTTTTATGTTGTGTGTATAATACTATTATGTCTAAGTTATTGGTTCACTCTTGACACTATGACAAGTGGTATTAGAGTGGGGTTTGAAGACATGCCAATGTCATTTGGAGTTGAAGTGTGTGTGTGTGAGAGATTCCTTCCTTAAGAACTTGATAGGAAATCCATCTCCCAATGATGAGAGAATTCACATAGATTGTTTTCACATATCAAGAAACAATTAAAGACTTTCCAGTGAATATTTATGAAAGAGATGACATCAACAGCTCATGGACAAGATGAAATGGCCATTAAAATATTTGTTTTTCTAATAGTATTGATCATTCTCAACTTGAACGTGAATCCCCCCCCAGTTAGAAGTTCATTGTCCAGAAGTCTTTTAGTGTAGAAAAAGGTGCAAGGCAACTTAAGAACTTTTTTCTTAGAATTTAAAGAACTACTTTGTTGCTGCTTATTTTGTTGATGCAAAGAGGGTGAGAAATGTAATCATGTACTTTTTTTTATGCATAAATGTTTATGGTGGACTAGAGTATTAGATGATCTTGTTGTAGGGAGGCCTTCTATTACTATCTTGGAGGCTCTTAAGGAAGAAATGTAAATCAATTCCTTCATAGCAATTTAGCATGGGTTGCTTGGGATGCACTATATCCCCTTGAGTAGATCGGGGTGATGTAAGAGTAAGATAAGTTTTATTCATAACATGGTAGAGTAAGACAAGTTCACTAGAATTTTGTTGATTTTGCAATATGGGAGAAGTGGCGTTGCAATGACAAGATGTGCTAATTCTAGCTAGTGTAATTATTAATGCATAGAAATGGGTGGATTTGAGAGTCACCCTGGAGGTTAAGTTTCGTCCAACAAAAACTAATTGAAAAATGAATAGAAAGATATTTCAAAGGAGTACACACAATGGGAGGATGCTTAAAATTAGGTTTCGAGTGACGTAAAATTTTAGATTAAAGCAAGGCCCTACAAGGCTATATATGAAGGACCTCATTGAATGTGGGATTGATTAAAGCTAGGGTAATCTAATGTAAAAGTTTCACAGATATATAATAATGAGGGCATCTATAAATGCAATTTATTCAAAAGTGTGATTTGATTGGGAGGTTCCATTTGATGTTGGCATTATTGAATATTTTGATGTTATCTTCCGCATTGACATTTCTAAGATGGAGAAGGATTCATTAATGCCTCATCTTAATGGCATTATGATCCGATATGAGCAAAATCATTGCTATGTGTCTTGTTGAGATACTTCTACAACAATTGCAAAGTGGTTTTTTTTAACTAAAATGCTGTTTTGTTGGGCTATTAAAGGAGATTAGGTGCATGTGAATAAGCATTGATTGAAGTTGAGCTAAATATGAAGATGTTAATGTCCCATGAGAAGATATCAGTGATGAAGGAGCTTGATGTTAATGACAAGGATTCCCAAAATTAACTCAAAATTAAAAAGGATGCAGTGGATGGTGATTTGATCATGGAGAAGAATGCTACATAAGAGTGATTTGATAGATAAATTGTTGGGTACTTATATTATATTAATCTATTAGAGAGTCAAATTCATCTAGCGGTGTTGGTTTGTTACAACCTTGATGGCCGTGGAGGACGACTTATGTATTTAGTATTTTAGTGATTCTCTTACACTTCATTGTTGTAAAAGGGAGAGGTAAATGTTATGGCTATGTGAAGTCGCTCTACATGTACATATAGGAGGGCATGCCATGTGAATAATATATGAAGTGATGTTTGCTGCAAGTTGCACGTGTAATAGAGATTTACACAAAGTTGTATAAAATTGGTTAAATAATTGCAAGTGTGTGTGCTTATAGTGCGTTTGTGTTAGTTTGTAGTTTATTGCATGTGCTTGCAATGACTTGTGCATTACAGGTAGTTGGGCTCTTGTAAATGATGGGCCCATGCAGATAATACCCTACACAGCAATAGTGCTTGAGTTAGGCATAGGAAGTACCAGTCTTTAACTGTAAATATATAAATATGATGTAATACATATATAGAGAGGTGTTTTTGTTTGTACTGTCAACAAATTGTAGCCAAGTGTGCACAAATGGCAGTTGAATATTTTATATGTCACTTTCAATAGCGTTCAAACACGTGTAGAAGGGGCTAACATGGCGTCGTTCATATGCATAGATAATGACATTAGTGGTGGGAGTAATTGAACTTGTTTACCCAGGTAAGCCATTTACGAAGGGAGCAATTGATATTTGTTCAATTGTTGAACTTCATACCTACAACAAAGATGTCACGATCCAACCCAATATGACCCACAAATAAAACATGTCATATTTTGTTGGATGGTGATAGACCAAGCTCAATATCTACCTTTTGGAGATTTTTCATATTTCCTTATCACAGAGCTACTAATTAACTTTTAATTGAATATGAAGTAAACTCATTTACAAATGTCTTTTTATCCATCATCAAAATGTATCTATACAAAAAAATGTTACACAACAACAACAACATCAAGCCTTTATCCCACTGTGGGGTCGGCTACATGAATCATTTTCTCTGTTGTATTATGTTAAGAGTCAAATTCTCAGTTAATAATAAATAAAGGTTCAAAAATTTTCTAACGAAGTCTTTTAGGTCTACCTCTATCTTTCTTAAAATAAGCCAAATCTAATACATTAACTTTCCCAGCCAGGTCATCGGAAGGCTGCCATTTTATGTGGCCAATCCATCTAAGTCTCTCTTATCTTATCCTCCATTAGAGCTACTGCAACCTTTTCACGTATATGCTCATTTCGTATCCTTCCCTTAAGAGTAAAGCCACTCATCCACCTCAACATCCGCATCTTTGCAACACTTAATATTTATGCTTCTCTTTTAATGGACAACAAAAAGTTACATGCTATAGTATATTTCTACAATCTAGAATAGAGCAGACAACAGAGAAATAAATTAGCCTTGACTGTACAAAAATAATCAAGAAATACCTATGACAACTTAGGGCAATTAGAACCTGGGACCACAACTACTCAACCCGCTCTTTTCACTTTCCCTGACCTGAAATATAATGCAAAATATGTGTGAGCCAACACAGCTTAGCAGATCACACTTAATTAATCCATTATGCATTTAACTAGGTTTTGAAATAGTTAATAACAATTCATTGTACCTTATAGAATAATTCTTGCAGGCATTATAAATTTAATGTAAAATGTAGGGAAAATAAATAAATAAGTACTCCACTTATTTGAGTAGGAAATAATAGATTTTCCTTAAACACTTATATCTCTCATCAGAACTAGTCAGAATTCAAGCCTTTATTATTCCCTATGCCAGCATATTAGAAAATAGACTCTTATGACTCCCAGATACTTAGTATATATTATATATTAAAAACAAACCCTTATGACTCCTGTTGCATTCAACGCAACAAGATTTCCTCCAACATCAAATTTTCATAGAATCACACAATTCAAGCATATAAAAATATATATAATTGCATTGTAATAAAAGGAATACAATTAAAACCATTTCAGAAATTCATAAAATTCTTCATTTTTTTTTGAGAAGAGCATAAAGCAGATTCTATAAAATGAAAAAGCAAGGAACTGTAAAAAAGTTCCTAATGAATACAGTCATCAGATTCCTTCTTCAAAATCTTAATAAATGAAGAAGGAACCTTATCCAGGATTAAATCATCCCATAAGAAAGAAGATAAAGTACCTAAGTTAGCACAAAAATCTGCTAACATGATTAAAAATAACATAATTAAAAGAATCTACAAAAGAAACCTTATCCATACCTTGAACTCCCATCTTGCAAGCCTTTTGAAACATCTTGATAACATTCAAATTATCACTTTCAATGATGATGCCTTGATACCCATGCATTTGATCTTTGATCCACTCCTTGGCGGTAATTATAGCTTGATACTCTAGATTGGTAATGTCCCAGTGCAATTGAGGTACTCCATAAGCCGCTATAAATCTACCTTTAAAATCTCTAGCCAGGAGTGAAACAGAGTAGCATCAACATTTACCTT